CAGATCGTACTTGCGATCATCGCAAGCCCGCCCCCTTGAGGGGTGCGCACACCGGCCCGTTCGTCAGTTGTCAAACAAGCTGGCCACTAACTCGCCGAGAATCGTACGATTCCCGGAGGGTTTTCCAGCCTGCTTGTTCGATGGAAGACGTGCGACCGTACAGTAGAAACGGTTGCACGCCTTCCATACACTGCACGATTCTCGTACGATCGCGGGATTTCCCGCGATTCTCGTACGAGAATCGTACAGTGTATGGGCACCTTTAAATGCACTAATATATAATGTGCTGCTCTCTAGAGCACTGGTGCTTTGCCTGCGGCCTGTGGGTGTTTGAAGTGTGGCCCTTGGGCCCCAGCAGTCAGCAGTGGAAGCATTGATTTGTAAAGGGGCCCTTAATAAGCATGTCCCCATTCTTTGACATCTTCTACAACAGGGGGTAAGCAAACTCTGGCCCTCCAGCTGTGGTGGAACTACATATCTTATCATGCATCTGCCTCTGGGAGTCCTGCCTGTGGCTGTCAGAGTCTTGCAATGGCTGATGGGACATGTAATTCCACCACAAGTGAAGGGCCGGAGTTTTCCTACCCCTGGTCTAGTAGGTCTCTTAGTCTGTGACAATCTTCTGTAACATTACATATAATAAATATCATAAGTGGTCCTTTTGAGATATCAGGGGCCACATTTGGGGCCCCTTATACATTGTAAGTTGCTCTGCTGCATCTTCCCCCTTCCCTCACAAACATAACAGGTTGAAAGCTGTGCGGAGCTGTGTAATGGCCAAAAAGTGGACTTTGCACTGTTGGGACCCCCTGCTCTTTTTTAATGGCCTGGATGGGAAGGGGGTTTAACACCGCGGATGTCAACTGGTTAAAGAAGAACTCTGGACAGAAGAAAACGTAACCCCTGCACTGCAAGCGGGCACTACACTAACCACCAATGTAAGGGGGCACTACACTAACCACCAATGTAAGGGGGCACTCCACTGACCACCAATGTAAGGGGGCACTCCACTGACCACCAATGTACCAATGTAAGGGGGCACTCCACTGACCACCAATGTAAGGGGGCACTACACTGACCACCAATATAAGGGGACACTACACTGACCACCAATGTAATGCAATTTTTCCCATCTGCATGTCTTTTCTGGCCATTATTATTATTTGTGTTCTCTAAGTACATAACATTCCTTATTCTTGTATTGAAGGATGAAGATGTATTCATAGGAATATGAATCCCTGTATTCACAATAAGAGTTCACGTGTAATGTCCTGTGAGCTGTAGATATAACAATTATTAGCTGGTGTTCCCTGAGACCTGACAGTTATTTCCAGGGTCCTTCCATGTTAAAAAGGTGGAGAGAGGCTGGTATAGACCACAATAGACCATTGTGACATCCGGTTCCCAGTGTCAGATCGTCAATTCCTTCTCTCTGGAATGTGGAAGAGCTCATTCACTTGTGTATTTATGTCTTGGCCCGGACAGTGCCATGCCACATACACTACAACCATTTATCTATGATGATTCCATGAGACGTACATAAGGCATCCATTCATACATGTGCTGAGATCATATTATATCAATTGATAACATGGAACACCTTATCTCTTGTTAGATTTTAAACTAGTCGGCTTATGGTGAGGGAACCAAAATCCTTCATTCACAATACTGAAGATAGTTTTCTTATAAAACCAGAATTCACTTACATGCCATGACAAGAGGTTTACCCGTCTCTTAAAGGATCCAAAGCAGATCGCTCCTTGAAGCCCCCCCAAGGCTCTCTCTCCCCCTCTCTCACTCTTTCTTTGTCTTCCTCCTCTCTTTCTCTCTCTGTTCCTCTCTCTCTCTCTCTCTGTTCCTCTCTCTCTCTCTCTCTGTTTCTCTCTCTCTCTCTCTCTTCTTCTCTCTCTCTCTGTTTCTCTCTCTCTCTGTTTCTCTCTCTCTCTGTTTCCCTCTCTCTCTGTTTCTCTCTCTCTCTGTTCCTCTCTCTCTGTTCCTCTCTCTCTGTTTCTCTCTCTCTCTGTTTCTCTCTCTCTCTGTTTCTCTCTCTCTCTGTTCCTCTCTCTCTCTGTTTCTCTCTCCCTCTCTCTTTCTCTCTTGCTCTCTCTTTCTGTCTTTTCTCTTTGTCCCTCTTTGTGTGTCTCTCTCCCTCTTTATTTATATTTTGTCTCTGTCTATCTCTTTGTCTGCCCCTCTCTTTCTCTACCCTGCCCCCTCTCTCTCTCTCTCTCCCCCCTCTCTCTCTCTCCCCCCTTACACTCTCTCTCTCTCCCTCCTCACTCTCTCTATCCTCTCTCTGTCTTTGTGTCTCTCTCCCTCTCTCTCTCTCTTGCTCTCTCTTTCTGTCTTTTCTCTTTGTCCCTCTTTGTGTGTCTCTCTCCCTCTTTATTTATATTTGTCTCTGTCTATCTCTTTGTCTGTCCCTCTCTTTCTCTACCCTGCGCTCTCTCTCTCTCTCTCTCTGTCTGTCTCTCTCGTATATTACAAATGATTTCCATCCCTGTAGTGTTTAGTTTGAGCTATTGAGTTCTGTAAACAGGCAGTTTTAACAAGGGATCAAAGAGATAGGTGACAACATGGGAGAAGGGCCGGAAGTTCCTCCTGCTGTCCCAAATGGAGAATACAGAATATTAACATGCTGTATTTCATATTTGCCTGAGAAGAAATGTTTGGACTGACCATTGTAGATAAAGAAACAAAACCACTATGCGTTCTCTTTAACTAATGCTACGTTTCATATCTTATTTGTGTAGTTGAGCTTTCCCCATAGGAATAACAGACTTTCTATATTAGTTGATACATTAGGAGAGCACAGGAAATATTCCATTCCTCCACGGCTTGGGTAAGGGATGAGCCGGGTGCTTGCCAGTGGGAGCGCGTCCTCGCTCCTATGTAAGACTACAGAGACGAGAAAGAAAGCCGGCCGCACTGCGAATTCAGCTTTTTTTCTTGTTATTTGGTACATTAGCTTTCAGTCCCGGTAGATTGGTGTTGATAGTTTTTCGTGCAGATAGACTAGCGCAGAGTAATGCAGAGTAATGCCA